CTTTTCAGCCCCTCACACTTGCCTCTGGCTGATTTTAAATTATGCTAATTGGAAGAAGGAAAAATGCTGGTAATGGAATAAAATGGAAAGCTAGTTCTTATAGCATCTGGCGCAATCTGAGCCATTTAGAAGTGCATCTTATGGAATAGAGGTATGAATAAGCAATGCCAGTCTGATTGCAAACAACATGGGTCTCATTAGAATACATCAATCTGATTGCTAGGTAGTGATCCACTGCAGATTAGCAGGCTGTAATTGCCTCTTTCATATTATGTGTGGAATATATAGTTTCTCTGGGTATAGGTTCAAGCCACTTTCTTGCATGGCTATCTTTTTCAGCTCTACACAAAGCAGTATCTGTGTTCTACTAAGTTGATTTAAACTGGTTCGTAGGTCCTAATTCTATTTTCTCCCAAGTATTCATCAAGTTTTCTACAGTAGTGCCATAAACAAAGAATTATATCCAGGGTGATTGCCAGAAACAAGATATGTCAGTGGTCTATTATCCATTCAGCTGGGAGCAGTTGGTGGCTCAAGGCACTTCCTCCAAAGAAAAAGTGTAAAATAACTGCCCCCCCCCCCAATTCAGCTGTAAGTCTTAACTGGGTGGTTGACTTAAGTGACTATGCTTTTTTTTTTCATTGTCAAATTTGTTTGTTTTTTTTCTATGACTGGAAGAATTCAGACGTCTTGGCCCAGGTCATGATTTCGGCGCGTGCTATGAAGTTAAGGATTCTAGTGTGTTCTGAAATCAGAACTTTATTCATCATATACTGAAGAAGCTCAGTCTCTCCAACCCTTGCCCTGTATCTCACATGCTCTGCGATCAACCAGCACCACAGCCCCTAGACCACCAAGGCAGAAAGGGAAATCTCCAATCAGCCTCAAACTGAGGAAAGAACTTGGACATGCCTTGGGTATGGCAGGGGAGTTACAGGGCGTGGAGGTCCTCAAAGGAGCTCTTGTATTGCCCTCCCCGCCACCGCCTGCCCCCAGCCCAAAGCTCTGCAGCATGTGATACCTCCTGCCTCGATTTGCCTCCCTTTTGTTTTTGTGTCTGAAATTTAAGAGAACAGATTTACAAAATGTGTTTCAAAATAGCCCTATTCTATAGAAACATTAAAAGGTTTTTTTTTTTTCTAAAAATAGTTGCAAAATTCTAGATTAAAATGGTAAAATTGGTTTAATAGAGGACTGCTCAGACCCTTTAACAAGCCAACCGGCTTTATGAATCTTTAACGGGGCCTTGTAGGCTACGGTCACTATTATCCAGTCTTATTTGACCACAGAACCCTGTGCATCCCAACCTATCACCGTCCCCCCAAAATAATAGCATCTTATCAGCTACTTTACCTGCTTTCCTGTGCTGAGTTTGGAAAAACGCCACTCTTTCCTGGAGTCTGGTTGCCCCAGGAAGACTCCTGTTTGCCACATCAGTTTTCCATATAATTGATCCCCTTGATCTCTCAAAAGAGACCAATAATACTGGGAACGTTGACTAGTTTTACAGATGGGTAAACTGACTTTCAGGGAGGCTAAGCGATTTTTCCAAGGTCACACATCTGACTGAGGCAGGGGGTTCACATGAAATCTTTTATTAGATGATGCTCCACCTTTGCGTCAGTTAATTTTTCTGACGTCATGGGACCCATCTTGTGTTTCTGCTTGCTTAATGACTGGCCTATGTCACAGGCCATCATCAAAGTGAAGAATGGCATTTGAGATGTGTTGCCTGTGACTTTTATGCTTAGAACATGAAAGTGGTCATTAAAGAGAGCCATCACCTCTTCCCTCCCTCCTCTGACTCCATATCAGATGGCAATATCTTACCTGTCATAGATTATACTTTTAGTGAAAAGTAGAGTGTAGAGATTAATTCTTAGAAAGCACAGAGTGTTAGATGAATACTATATCTGAAGTCCTAATTTGAAGTCCTAATTTGTTTCATGAGAACTAAGAAAGAAAGAGGGGGAGAGGGAAGGAGAGAGAGAGAGAGAGAGGGAGAGAGAGAGAGAGAAACAAGTAAAAGATAATGCATCTTGGGGCTGGAGAGATGGCTCAGAAGTTAAGAACACTAGTTGTTCTTGCAGAAGACCTGGGTTCGAATCCCAGCACCCACATGGTAGCTAACAACTGTCCGTAACTCCAGTCCCGGGGATCCAAAAACCTCTTCTGTCCTCTGGGGGCATTGCACGACACGGGTGCACTTGCCTCCATGCAGACAATACTCATACATGTAAAATAAAAATAATCATAAAGTATTTTAAACAAAATAAATAATAATGCACCTGGCAAGAAAGCAGCCAGGTAGTATTTAGGGAATAATGCAATTGTGTACTCACTGCTGACAAAGGCCTGTAGCATTCTCAAGCAGGAATACACCCACCTGACGGTCTGTTTAATCAGATTAGGTGGAGCAACTTGGGCACCTCATAAATTATGTCAGGATGAAGAGGCTATAGGCAAGTTGTTAGAGGCTAGCTGCTTGTGTTTATACCTCAAATTCAAGGCTTATCAGCAGGATGACCTTGGACGAGCTATGTACCCTCCATGCCTTAGTGTTCTTGTCTATCAAATAGGGGTAAAAAGCTTTGATCCAATGTTATTAAGACTTGGATCAAAGCACCCATCAGGCAGAGATAAAGGAGACAAGTTGGTATGGATTTTCATGTCCTAGTTGCATCTTTATTTTTTAAAAGTACTTTTCAATTCTCTTGCCAGATTCCAGGGTTCAGTTGTGAACTCCTCATTCCTATTCTCTTCCTAGGCCAACAGGGTGGCTAAGACCATTCAAATCCTAAAGTGCAGGCACCTTTGTGTTTAAGTGGAAGGTTGTGATTAGAGAAGTGTAAAAAACTGCTGACAACCCCTGACAGACAAGGATGAGAACCTGGATGCTCCTATGTATCCAGCTTGATTCAGCTTCCATGCATCTTTGCAGAAAAAGGTGAAACTATGAAGCACGTAGATGCGCTCACTACTAGAGGATGCTTTCCTTGAGCTCCACCAGCTCATCGTCCTCTACTTTGGTAGAGATGGGCTACTTCCTCAGCAGTTTCAGTTCCTCTCCCTGTACATGCAAGAGTTGACTTCCCTGCCTCCTAGCATTTGTTTGGACCATGTGGCTGGGTTCAGGCCAGTGAGATAAGGAGAGGAGAAATCAAACCCTCTTCAAGGATAGTCGTGAAACATTGAACACGATCATCTACTCCTGCTTCCCCTTTTGTGGTGACCTTTGGTTACATACTGAACACGGCATCATCAGGAGAGAAAGAGCTTGGATCAATTACTCGGTGCTTGGAAGAGTTACCATGACGATCCTTTGCATCATCCTCAGGCTGTGATATGAACTAGGAATAAACATTGTTTGCTGAACCCCTGAGAAAATAAGGGGTTGAGTTAGAAGTCAGCATTCCCTTCTCCAAACTCTGTAAAATCTGATAGTCTACTACAGAGAAATCAATCTCCAGAGATGACACGTGCCAATTTTGACACCACACTACAAATACTTTCTAGAAAATACAAGAAGTACTTAGCAGCTGACTTCCCATTCTGCTAAATGAGTAGGGAAGAAAATTCTAAGATTAGTCCCTTTCAAATTCCAAATATCTGAACTACCCTATGTATTTTGTGGCTGACTCCAGAGACATGCCTAAGTAACAAATGAACAGAAAACAAGTGTAACCTGATTCTGAGCCATCTTCAAGCTAGCACTAAGGGACATGCCTTTGCCCTCTGGAACCCAGCCGTTACTTCCCAGGGCTTTGCATTTTTAATGGATTATGACACCTTCAGCCTGGTTTTCAATGGATAGGGACTTTATCAACTGATTGCTTATGGTTTCCAGTGGACGGGGACCTTACCAACTAATTATTTATTTAGTAAAATACCATCACAAACAGAAAATTCACTCTATAGGTTTTAACAGTTTAATGTCCCTAAACCAATGTAGAACTTGAGGACATTTATGCAGAACCCCTATCAAAATGCCTTTCTATACAGTTGTAATTTACAACAATCATGCAGTTTTAGGCACTATCTTGGACCTAGTGGAGCTTTACTGAACTTCAAAGACCCCCAGATCTCAGGTTAAAAAGCCCTGGATAAGAACCTAAGAGCTGGTACCTGACCTCTTGGGTCAATAGCAAAGATAAAAGAGGGCAGAGAACTGGGGGTGCTGGAGAAATTGATGCCATCAAAGACTCTGGAGAATAACTACCATAGGTCCTAGGCGCTGTAAGCATTTCAACATGTTTAATCTTTATAAAGGCTCACAGTATTATAATTACCACTCTACAAATAAGGAAGCAGGCAGAGGGAATGTAAGAACCTTGTCCCACACTGCGTAATTAGTAAGCAATGGAGCTTGAATTCCAACCCAAGTCCACATTTGTACTTAAAATGGAATATAGGCTCTCAAAGTTGAATTTTCCAATACATTACTTAGGGGCAGGATTAGAAGTTAGTGCTTTCTCACGTGTTGCATACATGTATCAAATTATCACATTACACTCCACAAACACATACAATTAAAACAGTAATAAATAGAGCATGGTGGAGTATGTCTGTTTATTCCAGTACTGAGGCACAAGGATTGAGTTTGAGGTCAACCTGGGTTATATAGTGAGACACTGTCTCAAATAAATATGTTCAATTAGGATTGCAGATTTTGTGTTTGATCAAATGACAAACTATACTTTTTTAAAAATACCATACATATGGAAATTATTGAAAAGCTACAAAGCTAACCAAGCAGAGCCTGGTAATAGAAGCTTGTAAACCAGCTACTTGGCAGATGGAGGCAGGAGCATTGTAAGGTCTAGGTCAGCCAGGGCTACAGAGTGACTTTCAAGTCAGGCTGGGCAACTCAGTGAGGGCTTGTCTCAAAAGTCAAAAGAGGATGGGTTTTGGCCTTCTTAGCAGAGTACTTGCCTAGCATATGAGTCCTTGAACTTAGCCATCAGCACTAAAGAAAAAGAATAAATAAAGACCCAACCAGGTTTCAGGTTTGTATACGGCAACTACTTTATTACTTTCAAATGCAAACTCTTTGCATTTTGTTTGCTATTTTACAATTTTACAAACTAGGTATAAAAGACCATAAATAAATGACATAAGTTATGTGTACCTAAAGTTCATGAAGGGAAGAAAAATACCTTGACAAATAAAAACAAAATAGAAAATCTATATCTAACTCAAAAGATTGCTCAAAATTTGGAACATGTATGAACCAAGCGATGTGCTGTTCATTTCTCCTTCAGTATGAACTAAATTATGCCTTATACATTCTAATTTTATCACAGTCCTTGCATATTGCAATGTACTTGGAGTGATACAAAAAATAAATGCACTCTTCAGCATGTAGCAATGCTTGATGTTGCTTGGACAATGTTAAATAAGTGAAAATATTGCTTCTAGAACTTTCCTTTACTGGTCAGAATTTAATTGTCTCCAATCAAATACTGAGGCTATAGGAGTGTGTGGATTAATACATGTATCCTTCACAGATGAATACAAGAGGTCTCAGAACACACACAGCAGCAGTGTAGTGAACACAACCTTTCTTCAACTCTTTTAAAACACCAGACCATTTCATTTATAAGGTTGCTAAAAATAACCCGGAGCCTGCAGACATGTGGTGAAGCGACTTCATTTGGTGCAGGGAACAGCATCAAGCTGCTTAGTAGATCTGAGTAGGATTTAGCCTTCCAGTTCACCAGGCCAGCACTTGCTCATGGGCTGGGCACGGTCCTGGAAGTTAGCCACCTCCTCCTACCTGACCTCTGGGAAAGACGATCAGCTCAGAGAATCAACCTCTTTTCTTTACACATATTTTTCAGGCATCAATGCATAGGCACATCCCTTTAAAAATATATTAAGGTCCCCCGAAAGGGGTGAATTAACTTTGTCACTCTGGCATAGTTAGGCGAATACAATGCCACACACCCTGTCAAAATGCAATAAATATTTATTGGTGATTTTCTTTACTTATTCAACAATATATGGTTCAGAATTTTCCCCCCCATTTTTCCCTGATTTGATGTTATAGCTTATATAAACGGCCACAGTTTCTGCAACCGTAGCTCAGAATAAGCAAGGCAGCCACTCAGATTAAGTTAAATGGCAGTATGCTGGCTGGAGTTTGGTATACATATCCTATCAATACTGAATCTTCAGACACCAGAACTTGGATTCTAGAAGACTGATGCACTTTTGAGGGCAAGAGGAGTCAGCTGCATATTAATTACTGGAGAACCTTCCACATAATTGGGGAACCTGAAAATGTTTGAGGTCATTTCATCCCAACTACATTAACCTCGAGTCACTGGGATGTATTTTTCGGTGACTGGGAGACAAAGTATTAATCCGGACGCTCATCTCAAGGCTGACACACATATTTACGTTCATCGCCAAAAGTATATGAATTGCATATATTTGTTCGCATTCAGCAAGTCCATTTATGCAGGGAAACAAAGGCTACTTGTACTCCATGTGGGGTTTACCACCCCGATTCCATCCCCTTCTCTCTCCATGAGGAACTGATGAATCAGATGAGTCCAATCAGAATCTGTGGCTATGGTGACGGGCCGCCGTCACCTGGGTGGGTCTATATTCTAAAACCACTCCACCATCAAGGTGAACACTCATTTGTCCAAAGCTGTAGAATCGCTTTTCAAGGTTAGTGTGGCAGCTACAATTACATTTATAATACAGAACATCTAGCATTTCCAGGCTGCCTTTCCAAGGGGATGGGCATGGTCTCCAGGCCCTGAATATCATATGACTCAATCTTGGAACTGGTGGAAAACCAGAACTCTTAGCATTCCACAACATTCACGGGCAGTTCTAAGTGTGAGGTTACACAGGCATACACACATACGCACACGCACGCGTACACACTCACACCTATGTACACACATCAAAAGAGATAGTCAGCTCATATTTAGTCTAGGAAAAAAATATATTTATATCACTGCAATGGCACACCCTGGGTAAAATGTTATTTCAGCAATGCATATCATAGGCAGCTCACGGAACTGGCTTTGTTCTGTGTGGTGGCACCTGACCTGGCGTCCATAGTAAAACCTGTAGCATTTGGTCACTTGCTGCCACATCAATGCAGCAGTGATGTACAGGAATGAAATATGGAAATACATATAAATCAAACCACAAGGAGCTTGGGGGGCTCTGCAGAGCTGGTGCTGCAAGACAGTACATTCCTTGGTGCAACTGGAGAACAGATGGCAATTTTCGCTGCTGCTGCTTTCCCTAGGAGGGGGACTTGAAACTCCTACGCTTATTCTTTTCAGGTACAGGTATGGTTTCATCAAGTGTCTTTGCCCCAGAACTGGCAGAAGGGAAACAGAAGAAACACATTGAGAAGGAACTGAGGAGGGTGTGTTCTGTTTTCTTCCAAGAGCTTTGTAATCAACAGGAAGGGCTGTGAGGCTGAGATAGCAGAATCTACTCCCTGTAGAGAAAAGAGCAAGAGAAAGAACATCAGGCAGTATTAGCAGACGGCAGTCAACCCATCAGCTACATGTTACACTGCTATTAAATAGTTGCAGGACATCTAGCGTTTCAGGCTCATAGACGGTGACAAGGTTCAGCGAAAGTCTTCCGAAAAAAAAAAAAAGGGCACTAACAAAATATACTGCATGTTGATATCTTCATGGCAACGACTCTGAGGTAAGTGCTGTATCCAGACAGGACACTGAAGCATAGAGAGGTCAAGAAACCTGCTCAAGGCCATATACTGTGATCTTGCAAAGCGGGAGTGAGAACCCACAAAGTCTGAGCTGATAGCTATGGCTGAACTGCTGTTTTGCACACCCAAGTGGAGATTGTGACTCAGTTCACAACCCACCAATAATTATCAGTAACAGCTGCAAAACTACAAACCAAGGAGTAAAAAGCATTTCATATTTTCTTTTAAAAAGAAGTAACAGGGGACTGGAGAGATGGCTCAGCAGTTAAGAACACTGGTTGCTCTTGCAGAAGACCTGGGTTCGAATCCCAGCACCCATATGGCAGCTAACAACCGTCCATAACTCCAGTTCCAGGAGATCCAACAGCCTCTTCTGTCCTCTGTGGGCACTGCACAACACGGGTGCACTTCCCTACATGCAGGCAATGCATGCATACACATAAAAATAATAAATAAAAAATATATGAAAGGAAGTAACAGGACCACTGGAACAGCTCTGTGGGCTCAGGCACCACTGCCAAGCTGCGGCAGTTGTGTGATGTTGCAACACAAAAATAAATAAATAAATAAATAAATAAATAAATAAATAAATAAAAAAAAATTTGGGATGTGGAGCTATCCCAGTGTTCTGGGTTCTGGACTCCATCTACTCACTAAGAATTCTAGAAATCAGCCTACAAACAAGGCTTGCACAAAGCAAGGACATCAACATCATTCTTCATTTACTGAATGATTAACTCAAACCAAAAGAAGTAGTTTTCCTTCATTCCTTTCTGATAACTGACTTTCAATATCAGTTCTTTGACCACATTTCCACTCATAGGAAACTTCTCTACCAGTTGGCAGCCCTGGGTATAGAGTGGGAATTAGGACCAAAATGCACTGTTACAGATGATCATGCTTAAGTTATCAAATCAATTATTTTTTGTTTTGTGTATGTTTGTTTTTTGGATAGGGAGGAATATATAAAATTTAGTTTCTTTGAAGTAAATGACATTTAAATTATTTTATTTATTATTTTTAGTTTATGTGCACGTGTGTATTGCCTGCATGTAGATAAGTGTGCCTGTGTCATTCAATGCTCGGGGAGGACAAAAGAGGCTGTCGGATCCCCTGGAACTGGAGTTACAGACAGTTGTTAGCTGCCATGTGGGTGCTGGGATTCGAACCTGGGTCTTCTCTAAGAACAGCCAGTTTCTTAATCACTGAGCCATCTCTCCAGCCCTGACATTTTTAAATTTGTAGAAAATACTTGATTTGGAGAGACAGAAATAAAGTTGTCTCATATAGAATAAAAAGTAGAATTCACTGAGAAATTATTTTTTAAAAAACACTTTTAAGGTGTAAATTGAGCATGAAGGTGGACAACTGTAACCCTAGTACTCAGAAGGCTGAGGCAGGAGGATCTTGCATTGGGACTAGATATGCAGTGAGACCCTGTCTTAAAAAAAAATAGGGCTGGCAAGATGACTCCCTGGGTACGGGTGCTTTGCTACCAGGCCTGACAACCTGGATTTGATTCTCAGATCCCACATGGAGAAAGGAGAGGAAAAACTTCTGCAAGCTGTCCTCTGATCTCACATGCACACATGTGAACACTCATACATGCACACATAAATAAATGTAAAAAATAAATAACTAAAACTATTAATGGCTTAAAGTATAACTAGCAATATCTTTAAGAAGTCAGTTTTCTAGGGAAAAGGGAGATAGGCTTTATTAGAGCATGCTGAACCCCACGATGTACAATAAACATGGGCTAACAAAAGTCACCTCTGATACTAAGGCTGTTTATAATTATCCAAACTATTATTTAAAAAAAAAAGAAAATAAATGAAAGGAAAGAAACAGGACCAGAAAGGAAAGAAACAGGACCAGATATAATTTTCTAACTCTCCCTCTCTGGAAATCAGAAACCCGATCACATGTGGTTTTTGAAACTTGAACATGCAGGGATATCATTAAGCATGCATGTGTTTATACAAAGGGCAAGGTGAACATTAACAGGACCTAAAAGCTTTGGCATATAACCACACATGTTCACAGGTGAACTTTGATGGAAAGATTCATATGTTACTGTAAATTTTATTCCTCAGAGGCAGAGTAGTACCCTCATCAACACATCTGCCCCATCAGTCTGCCAACCCCCTTCTTAACTTAATATGGGAATATAAATATCTACTGCATAAACATAGTCATGGTACCAAGTGGACATTTTGGGGACTTAGGGTTCAGGTGAAGATAGATGGCCAAAGTGAGAAGTAAGGAGCTGTGAAAGTTCACATCCATGAAATGTCAGAGTAAGAATTCAGGAAAACAAGACTTTCTCCTTTTAAATTTAACCAGTTCCTTTATCATTGGAGAATTTTAGAAGTGAAGCCAGAAGGGAAGTGGTCTACGAAGGGACTTGTGACACTAATGAGAATTCATTGAGCCCCTTTACACAAAACTGCTGCTCCTTCGAGTCAGTCATAGGACACGGCAATGTCTTTACCATTCAGTTCCTTTCACCACTTTTTCTGATGATAAAATAATTGCACCAACTTCAAGGCTAAATAAATAATGCATGTTTGGCCTGTCAGGAGTAATTTGAAGAAGGTACCACATTCAGAATGGACATTTATTTTTCCCCAGCTTCTCATGAACCAATTTACAAAGCAGGAGCTTCAGCGTCCTGGTCCCCCAACAACTGAACTATGTCTCAGTCCACTGGGTCATGCAGGGTGAATTGTTTAGAGTCACAGCAAGTGACAGTTCACAACACTGAAACAGGAGAAGGAACAAGGGAACTTTCCTCTGGGGACCTTTCTGTGCTCTCCGGAGAGTAAGAGCACCTCTTACACATCTATACTACCACATGTCAGGAAAGCTGTTATTAACAAGGTATCATCATCTCTCTAATTTCCAGGTGGAAGAACTAAGTGATGAAGCGAACTGGGTTAGTTTCCAGTGTCAACATTTCGGTTGGCTTTAGACACCACAGCTGTCTGGATGCCAGAGCCTGGCACCATGCCCTGGGAAACAGTGTGGTATTCCTATTGTTCCCACATCTCACTTCTTAGACGTCAGGGAGGCGGTAAACACTGCTACTGGGATATTATTTTAAACACTTGGAAAGTCCTTTTTTGGCCTTTCCATTGGCCTTAACTCTAACTCAGGCATGTGCTAACATTAGGACTCAGAAGGTGGCCTTTGAATGATATAAATTTTTGTATTATTTCATTTGTACAGATACCTGCTAAGCAATAACAGAATGACTTCAACAGAGTAAATAACATCCATTTGTTAGGAAGTTTTAGAATCATGCTCTCTTTCATTAGGGAAGTTCTGCTTTGAACATGTTCCATGTTTAGAAAAACATGTCAAGCCTCAAGTTGGTGACTATAAAAAAACTAAACCTTTTAATTATTCAATGACTGCAAGGTAATATTCTGTTTGTACTTCAGTGTATAATTCCATAGTACTTTCTTATTGGAAACAAACTGTAGAGATTAAAAACAAAATGCTTGGGCCAGCCAGATTGCTCAGTGGGTAAGGGCGCCTGTAGCCAAGCATGACAACCTGAGTTTGATCCCTTGGACCCACGTAGTAGGAGAGAAATGCTCCTTCAAACTGTCCTCTGTTTTTGTACACATGTAGTGCACACACACACACACACACACACACACACACACACAAACACAGAATTAAATAAACGCAATAAAAACTCAACCCCCAAATACGCTACAGCTTTACTAAAACAAAACAAAACAAAAAAAGTGTTGTTTATAAAACAAAGCAAGCAGAGAAAAAACAAAACAAAACAAAACAAAAACCCCAACTCGCATTTGTCAACTTTTAGGATGAAAATCAAGAACTCCTAGACTTCAGCAAAAGTAGTGAAATAAAAATTGTTGGGAGCTGTTTTAAAAAACAAATTTCATATTCCTTGTGAACAGAAAAGCTTTTACAACTAATGTTTCAAGGAAGGTTTTTGCTAAACTGTCATGATTTGACAGCATCAAATTTAACACTCCTTATTCTATAAGAAATAGCTTTCAGGATAAAACTGAGAGGAAAAAAAAGAGGTCATTAAAAATCAACCAAGATCTTGTTTAAAAGTAATAAAAATGGAATAGTTGAAAAAAAAAATTCCCTGTCCGAAGTTAGGTCTTTTGTTTCTAGGAATGAACAAAGCCATATAATATGTTGTTTTGTGAAGAAAATTCTAGATCATAAAATAGTCATTGAATAAATGCTACTAATGGGCTTATGGATGAAAAGTGCATTTTAGTGGGTCACTTTCTGGTAATGAGCAAGTCTCAGCTAGTTTTCAGTTTCAGCACTGACATCTTTTGCTGAATTCTCTTGGGCTAAACTTGTCTAGTACAGGGTTTACTGGAGTGAGAAAATGCTTTTCTATCAAAGTGAACTCCACAAAGGTGGGGCCCATGATCCAATCTTTAGAAAGGCTCTGGAGAGTCTATCTGATAGCCAGACAATAATAAATATGCCTAGCCTCAGTGAATGGCACCAAAGGGCAAGAGGAACTTTCCAGAGGGAAACACAACTAGTAGAGAGTCTGGAGCCTTTTCTCTCGACTCTGATCTCACTTTGGGTGGTTTTAACTCGTCTTTGAAGAACAGTAGGGGACCTCTGTTATTTTTGGTGTCTTCTATTGTCAAAAAAGGACTGAAATCCTGAAAAAACCAGCATCTAACAAAAGTGAAAATATACTTGCTGTTGTATGTCAAATGAGATCAAAGACAGAAAAGAGAGAGATTTCATTAGAAAGAGTCATTGCTCATTTTGTAACTTACCTTGTAAATTTGGGGTTCCCTCTGTAAAGGAGGGAAGTGTGAAAATTCCCTATTCAAGATTGTCACAGCCCATTATCCATAAGGTAGTTATGATCAGTTTGTAGGGTCCCCAAATAAGACTTTATATGGCATAGCCTCAGGCCCAAAGAAACAGACCTCATCTGTCCAGTTAGGGGTAACTGGGCTTGGGATTTTGTATTTTAAAGAAAGCCATTCTCCTTTTCTTTCTAGTCCCTTATGTCACAGGAATCCACCAGGTGACCTGCGCCCTGAAGAGGCAGTATAGGCGGGTCACGTGGCTTTCACCTGGATTTTATTCCATGGTATAAACCAAGCCCTGATAGCCACCATTGAGTCCTTCAGCAATGCTCCTGGGCACGGTCTTCCTTTCAATGAAGTGTGATGACAATAGTTTATGCCACAGACAAAATCCTTCGGTTGTAATTCCAGTGGAGGGAGGATTAAGGATGACTCGGGAAAGCTCAGTGTCTGGCAGCAAATACAGCATCGAAACTCGGAGGCAGAGTTCTATTTATATAGGTACATGTATTTTACACACTGGTGATGGACAGAAATACTTCTGAGAAACTATTTGCTGCAGGTCTAATTCCAACAATCACGGCCATTTTTGTAAGCCCCACTGTTTCAGCAATCTGTACACCAAGCAACACTGCAGATTATTTTTTTTTCCTTTAATTTCAGAGGGCGAAGACGAAGTAAAAAAAGTGCAGTTCTTCAATTAAAGTGCATGGATGAGGTAAACTAATTTCAAGAGTTTTGAGTCTATTCAGTACTGGCTCAGACAGGAACCATCCTGCCGTGCATCTGCTGCATTTGGGTTCGCATTGCCTGGACGCTGCTCAAAATCTTATTCTGGTGCGTGATCACTGTGATGCCAATTCTTGCCAGGTCACTGCAGGTGGGGCAAAGACAGAGGGAGAGAGAGAGTCATGGGGCTGAGAACATCATTTGCCAGGTTTCATGCAGACACACATTTGAATCAGCCACAATTAATACAGCACAAGGCACTTGTATAAAAATGTTTAAGTAACCAATTGAATGCAACAATGTAGGTACTTTATAGATAGAGGCTGTGTAAAATTACACTCAATCAAAATGAGAAGCATTCCAGTTTTCTTTCTTTCTTATTTTATTTTATTTTTTTAATGAGGATGATTATGAAGCCAAACGCGAAACAGGAAAATACTATGAAATCTAGATTTACCCTTTCGTGTTACATCGCTGAGTACTTACTCCTGGTTCATGTGAACCACAGCTTCTAGCGTGGTGTAACCAGCAGCTGTGAAGTTATCCTTATACCGGTCCATTTTAATGGCTTGTAGCCAGTCGCCCACAGATACAACTGCAGAGAATTCTGGGGAGCTGGGATCCAACAAAGCTGTGTTAGGCCTGGAAATGGAACAAAAATGTGTAAACGGGCAGGGAGACTCTGCTTAAGCTAGACCAGAGAAATAGAGGTCCACGACAAAGTCTTAAAGGGAATAAATGCCACCTAAAATAGACGTGTGCATTTTTTTTCTTTCTTTTCATTCCATACTATCTATCACTCTTATCGATCACTCTTCTTAGTTTGTAATTCCACTTACCGCATGTGTTTGAGGTGAGTTAGGGTATTAGGTCTCACAGCAGATCTGTGAACATTCTAACTAGAGATTGGGGGATCTTTTGTGACTGAAACCTGTCCAGTCTTTGGAGAAAGAATCTATTTTCTTCCAGAACAGAATATCAAAGGCATTAGTTCGGCAACTATGGATACCTCAGAGAAGTATGAGCAAGGAGAATTGGAGCTTGCAACCTGTCAGGTTTGATGGAAGCAGAGAATCATGAGAGCTCAAGCCCAGCTTCTAGCTAGGTCTGCATTCAGCTAGGGTGGGCTCAGTGCATTCAAACCAGCCCAGGACAGCAGGAGCTAATCCTCTCTTTAATCAACCCATGCCTGACCAGCACGTGTGCCAAGACTAGCAGAAAGAATGGGCGTTTGATCACCGCTCGGCCTGGGGAATGTGCTTCTCAGATTCCTTTACTGGGGGGCTCCTACATAATAATTTCAATAAACTCAAAGCAGTTCTTATTACCTTGGTTATTAGTTTATTCACCTCTCAAGCCAGGTATTTTAATATCAGATCGATCGATAGTCAACACTGACTATTCACAGGCAATTCGCCACTTCTCCCAATAGGGGTACACAGGGTCCCCCTATTCATGAAAGTACTTAAGAGACATAATTCTCATCTTTATCAAACTACTTAATGATCATACGATAGATCTTCACGGAGGTATTTTGTAATATCTCCACTATAATTTCCAGTACGGAAACACTATTTTCTTAAATTTCTCTCTTCTCTAAAAATTATAGAAAATGGGTGTCTGCTTTTAACATTTTGACTTTACTTTAACCTTGATACTATGACTGAGATGAACATACATTTAAATTGGAATCATGTCTTCAATGGGGAAAAATAGCCTTATATAAATGAAATGAAGTTGTAATGCCTTAATTCATTTTCTATACAGAATTAATCTAATTCTATTTAAAAGTTCTCATTTTTACCTGAATTGAGTTGCATTATTTACCTTTTACACAAATATCTTAACAACAACTTGTATCATGATTGTCTATGGCCAACAAGAGGGTTTTAGAAGCATAGAGAATAGAGGGTTTCCCTGTTATCTATCCAAATTCTCTTGCGTATATGGTGATAGCAAACATGCTCCTTCTTTTCTAGGACCTGAGGACTGCTTTGAGAAATTCAGAGGGGCTGCAAAAACTAAAGGCTTTGGACATACTAGCAGGGAAGGCAAGACCTTCTATTTTTAACTCAGGGTAACAATGAAGCCTTTGAAAACTCAGGTTCGGCGCTGAGCAGGTAGATACCTCACCCGTTGTAGACCTATCTTACTATTCCTGATTTCTTGACAGTTTAACTGATGAGCCTGCTCCAAAGCCTTTCAGATGAGACCGTATGTGGGTGTCCTGAATCTGGCAGTGGTAAAGCCCAATCTCTAAAGGAAACTTCCTAGGGAATGATGGCCCTGGGAGTCACATATTCTTCATAGACTAATATCCTTCTTCAGGTTCAAAGTAATTGAGAAAGAAGCCATATAGATTGCAGAGCAAGGAAGTAGCCTGTGACTTGGCAAAGTCAGGAATTAGAATGCATCATGCTCGCCTGCCACCTCTGATGCATTCCCTCATACATCACTATTAAGTAAGCTTGACAAACCTGGAGCTCTCTGTCCCTGTCCTCTTCAAGCTGTTGGGGTTGCGGATGAGTTTGTCTAACATGTTGACAATCTGCCCAAATTTAGGCCTGTCACTTCTTTCTTTCTGCCAGCAGTCCAGCATCAGCTGGTGGAGGGCAATGGGGCAGTCCATTGGCGGGGGTAGCCGGTAGCCTTCCTCAATGGCTTTAATCACCTAGAGAAGACAACAGGGTGGTATGGTAAGCTTCCAGCAGCAGCTTAAGCATGGACACAGTGGCTCCAACTCCTTCACAGGAGTCAAAGCTAGGTATCAGGGCAACGGGAGAGAAAAGCCAGCTGTTAAAGGGAAAGTAATGCCAATCTGAAACTTAGAAGTGAAGATGCACTGATATTCCAAAGTGGTTAGAACCCAATTAGATCACAGCTTTGCATCAGAGCTCTAGTGATGGTCCTCCATCACATGGTCCTATCTCCACTCTGCTATCCAGACTCAGCACATCTTCACACACCAACAAAAGACACCCGGTGCCGCAGCTGTCCCTTAGGAAGCAATACCAAGCTGGAATCCCCCAGGCATCATTTCAACCCTGTGTCTCCTATTCAGCAGCTAATAGTCAATACCAGCCATTGAGCCTACTTCCAGACACCAGCCATTTTCGCTTTTGGAGGCCTATACCCTTAGATAGCAATCCATTATCTCTGTCTTGACCACATTCTGCTGGTGATTAACTGTTAAAAGTGTTAGATTAACTCTGTTAAAAAGTATTAGTAAGCAAATTTTAAAAAGATTTTAAGATACCAACTTTTTAAAACAATTTTTAAATTATTTTTATGTTATGTGTATATGTGTATTGCCTGCATGTAGGTAAGTGCACTGTGTCATGCAATGCCTGTGGAGGACAGAAGAGGCTGTCGGATACCAACTTTTTAAAAAGATTTATTTTTATTACTCTTTATGTGTGTGTCCGTGTGTGAGTTTGTGCCCCTGAATGTGGTGCCTTTAGAGGCAGAAGGTGTTAGATCCCCTGGGGGCTGGAGTTATAGGCAGTTGTGAGCTGCCCCATGTGGGTGCTGGCAACTGAACTCAGGGCCTCTGCAAGAACAGCAAGCCCTCTTAACCACAGAGCCATCTCTCCAGTCTATATATTAATATCTTAAAGGGGACCCTTACCCATAATAGGAGCTGCAATAATAGATACCCATTGTCTAACTACAAGTCACAGGGATCATTCAACACTGCTCATTCTAATCTTCTAATGTGTCTTCATAGGCATCAATTTTTTTTCTTTCGTTTTTCTGTTTCTGAGACAGGTTCTCATAATGTACCTCAGTTGGTTGGCCTCCAGCTCTCTACCCTCCTGCCTCAGCCACCATGCTCGGCTTACACTATTTTCTCATTAGCTTTTCTTTAAATCCTCTGCACACTGGGATGTGAATACCAGTAGTGTGATTTGGAAGACTACAGACAAGTTCTAAGTGGGGAAATAGTTCATGTTCTTTTCTTACACATAAGCTTGTTTTATGAGTATACTCAGATTCTAGAAACACTTTTATTTGTTGGATACTTTAAACCTATTTGTTTTGGTTTTTCTTACCCAGATGAATGCTGCCAGAGAAATAAAGTACCACAGCCATCCTGTAATCACACTGGACTTGCCCTGCAGTGAGTCTATTGACTGCTAAGAAATTAACCTTCAGCCGAAAATAGTCAATTCAGGTGGATCTAGTTTCTAGGTCCCAATTTAGCTGTTGTCTTTTTAACCAGGATACAACCTCAGTTTGGCAATCATCTTCTGATCATTAGTTAACCTCTAGGATCCTTTCCTCCCCAACTATTTTATCAACATCTTATGGTATTTGAACGATCTCTTTCTTCCAAGGTAGACCTTTCTACTCTACCTCACGTAACTTAATTGTCTTTATTTTTTGGCAGTCACACTAGGTAAATTTGATCCTCTGACATCCCTTTTATCTTTCCAGGTACATGGTATCGACTCTAGAGTTGATGAAAGCATTTTCCATTTACAAAAATGCAAGCAACATTGGGCTGGTGCCAGCAGACCACGATTTTTTGCAACTCCTCAAACTGATACGGTCTCATAAGCTCCCTAGCTCCAACCAGCTTGAAAGACAGGTATTGGGTTAGCAAAGCATAGTTTTCACCTTACTTCTGAGTGTTTTTGGTAGAAAGCAAAAGATGCAAACAAAACAAAAATTTCACCTGTCATTCTCGCTCCATTTATCGTACGTCCAATGAATTCTACTCAGGAAAGTCTGTTACAATTCCTATTGATTCCTATTGTTCCCAGAATCAACCAGATGGATAAATATATGACAATGATATATCAATATTATTTGTGAGCAAGAAGTGGACTCAAAGCACCCCAAATGGAAAGTATAGAGCAATCAAATTGTTATACTTTAGAAACTGTAAAAATTACAAGTCTGAGATACTAGAAGAAGAAAACTGGTCTCTTTTGCTATCCTTATGAAAATTAGGCTATGACTTCCAAATTGAATACAGGGAAGCTTAGTACCAAATAATCCAATAAATAAATGCCTAGACTTCATGCTCACACAGGCTGCTTGTCTTTGTCCCTTCTTTGCTAAAAGAAGCTACTTGAGACAAGTGTGTGGTTTAGGCTTTTAATCCCAGCACTCAGGAGGCAGAGACAGGTGGATCTCTGTGAGTCTGAGGCCAGCCTGATCTACATAGTGAGTTCTAGGCCAGCTGGGACTACAAGGAGATTCTGTTTTCTCTACCCCCACCAAAAAAAAAGTTACTTGAAGATATCTGTAATACCCTCATATCGTCAAACAATGGACTATGCGCACCACTCACCTCTAAGGTCATTTTTCATCTTGTGGCTATTACGTAGGCTATCTGCTGGCTGCTTTCTTTCTTCCCATTCACTACGAATCTTCTTTCATGAATGGCAGACAGCACAATGCCAATACTACCATTCTTTCTAGTACAGTTGGTTTACAGTAGAGCAGGAGAGATTTTGTTCTTTGTTTTCATTTTGTCCTATTGTATGTGAAGTACACTGGTTTCTCCATTACTCAAAACATTCCTTCTCTGATAGGAAACCTGCATTCTTTTTCAGTGCACCTGGGTCTTTGTTTAATTGTCAGGGTTTTGTGACATACAGTTGTGTCAGGAGGATAAGACAGATGGTCAGGCAACATTCCACATCAGAGAGAAGTTTTCAAAGAAATGCTTTCCCAAAATATAACATCAAGTCCTCCTCGACTATCTTAGTTTGTGGTAGGGCACTCTCAAATAGCATTTTAATTGGTAAACCAAAGACCACTCATTGGTAAACACAGTATGATAATGTTCACCAGCTATAAATATTGTTTGAAAAGTATAGGGGGAAATCACTTTATTTTGATCAGATTTGTAATCCTAAAAGTTTTCCAAAATTAACTGAGATGAGTTCTAAAAGGATCCCGGTCTGGGGCTTGCTTTGGTTTGCTTTTGCTTTTTCCTTCCTCACTGGAGATGTTTGTAATTAAATTCTATTAGTCTGGAATCTTATTAGTGTCATTATTGAATGCGTCTCTGAAATTGCATACATCGTAGATACTCCCTTTATGAACTAATCCAGATGGCACATCTAAAGGGATGTGCATAATTTACAAAAGGTCATTTAGGGAAGCTTTATTTAAGAGTCCTTGTGGGGCAAATTCTAATTACGACTATACCAGCTTTAAAATATTCAGTTTTACCACATGTGAAACTTGTATTCCCACCATCTTTGTGTTTTCTTAGAATTCAAAGTTTAATTTGCATATGGTTTTGAAAGTTCACCAAATGAAAATCCTTCTTACACTGTTAATCTATAAATCTATGGATCTCTTTATATAACTCCAACACTATGCCATGAAAATCACTTAATTTTAGCCTGGAAATCAAGTCATTGTTGGTCATTATATGGAATAGATTACTAAGGCTATTTATAATAAGAACACTGAGTTTAATGTATCATTTGAAACCCAATGCTTCCTTTATCATATGGTAATACAGAACTTCTTGAATCTCAAGGTAAAGACAAATATTTCAGAACACAGATACTCACATCTTGATTAGACATATCCCAATACGGTCTCTCTCCATATGACATCACTTCCCACATAACGATTCCATAGCTCCATACATCACTGGCTGATGTGAATTTACGATAGGCGATTGCTTCTGGCGCAGTCCACCGGATAGGAATCTTGCCACCCTGTGAACAGTTCAGCTCTGGGTTATTTCTCAAGTGTATCAATGATGTGCCAGCCATTTTTGTTTCTGAGTGTCGCTATTATTTCCCAAGCAAGACAATAGCATTCCTGAGCTGGCATAATAATAACAGACTTGTTTACTTTAACTAAAGTCTTCCAGGTGAGACAGTTCTCCTTGTGTGTATTCTTTAGCCACAGGGAAGTGAACAAGTAATCTGTCTAATTATTTTTTAAAAGCTCACCTATTATCTGAGCACTGCTTGGGGCAATATTATAGAGAGGAAAGCTCAGATTTTACATAAATACATACACTATTTGGAGTCTATCAAAGGATACTTGGCTGACATTTGTTTTGACTTCTTATCCGGCCTCTCAAACACAATGCTTAACATTGTATCAGAAACATGAAAATGTCTACACATCATACTGTCTTCTGAGTCTTATGTAGCATGACAAGCATGCTCAGTATATCTAGAAGGTAACACAATATAGCCCCTTAAAATAAGCTGAAGAGTACAGACACTGGACCTATTGTAGTGTATTACATGGAGGAAGGGCAGTATTATTTAATGAAATTATTTACATTAAATAAACTAGCAAAGATGGTGAATTAACCAATATCACCCAGGGAAAGATTAAAAAAGCTATGAAATAAATAAATAAATAAATAAATACCCTCAAATCTTTCCTGTTTAATTATTGTAGGTGCAAAAACTATTTTTAGTTGAGTTTCAAATTTTTTTAAAGTGCATCTGTAGAAACTAACTTGAATTTAGATCTTCAAACTGTTGAAGCAGCCATTATTTAAAAGATATCTCTGGGTTTATTATTATTAGGGCTACTCAGCTGGGTAATAAATGGTCTGGCATTGCTGTGTTGTCCTGAAGTTTATGCTGAATCACAGTGTAACATGCTCATACACCTTACCCATAGGCAGACATTTATGCGCTCCTAAAATACTTTGTTAAGAGATTTTATGTATGTAAATGTTCTGGAAGTTCTAGAAGCCTCTATAGCTTTCTTCTTTGCCACCACTGGGAAATACAGTAAAATACCTTCTGCAGTCACAAGACATTATTTTCTAAATGAATAGACTTGGAATTCAGAAGAGGGTATGTATATGATTCTGAATTAGAGCTAAACTGTGTCAGCCTTACTAGTCAATAGCTGTCTGAAAATGTGTGCTTATTTTATATTCAGATCATCAGGCTAGGACAGCACAGACATTAACCCTACACTGAATACTCTTAATTGTGTCTTAATCCCTGCTTATCTACCAGCAATAAAATGATGGGCATTAGGTATTAGAAAACTTTACATTGTGCAAATATTTTATAAATTATATACATATATTCTTAAATTCATTAGCCACCCACTTAGAAATATTGCTTCGGCTTACTATAGTGAGGATATTTTTCCCTTTAAAGAATATAAAAGAGTCAAGCAGAAAAATCCAGACAGGAAAAGAAATAAAGGAAGAAAAAATTTAAGAAAACAATCATTAGCATTGTATGTGTGCATATATATTCAGCATATATTATTTATACAGATATACAAGTGACCCAACCTCCCAATTTTCATAATAATTTATTATTTGTGGTGAATTATCCTTGACAGTGGATTATAATTTAGCTCAGCTTTCAAGACGCCCTTTTATTGTTCATGAACACTTTGCCCAGGAGATCTTAATTTATTTTGCTTGTAGTTTTGTGGCTCTATAAAATGGTCACTCATTAGAGTCTGCTTTAAAATCTTAACATTATTTTTGTAGACATTTTTGAACTGGATGCAGATTCATGGAGAGGGCCTGAAGATAAATAAACTTGAAGAAAAAAAAAGATCAAGAGCTAGAGAGATGACTCAGCAATTAAGATCACAGGCTGCTCTTGCAGAGGATTGGAATTCAGTTCCCAGCACCCATATTTTGACTAACACAACCATCCATTTGTTAACTCCAGTTCCAGGGGATCTGACACCCTCTTCTGACCTCTGTAGACATTGCATGCATGTGGTGCACTTATACATGCATGCAAAACACTCATACATAAAAAATAAAAAAAAAATTTAAAACATTTTATTATTTTTATTTTATGTGTATGAGTGTTATGCCTGCATGTAGGTAAGTGCATCCGTGTTGTGCAATGCCCACATTGGTCAGAAGAGGCTGTTGGATCCCCTAAGACTGGAATTACAGACAGTTGTTAGCTGCCTTGTGGGTGCTGGGATTTGAACCTGGGTCTTCTGTAAGAACAGTCAGTGTTCTTAACTGCTGAGCCATCTCTCCAGGCCCCAAATAAAATTTTTTTTTTAAAGAAAAAAATAAGGAAAGGTTCAAACATCAAGATGAAACAAGAAGACCAATTTCATCAGAGTAGAAGCCTAGAGGTAGCAAATGGTCCTTACCCTGGTGGTATAGGCTGCTTCGGGATCATCCTCAAGGACTCGGGACATGCCAAAATCAGATACTTTGCAGACCAAGTTGCTGTTTACCAGGATATTCCGAGCAGCCAGATCACGATGCACATAGCTCATATCAGACAAATACTTCATCCCAGACCCAATGCCACGGAGCATGCCCACCAGCTGAATGACTGTAAACCGGCCATCATTCTTCTGCATAGGAAGGGAGTGGGAACCATCCCATTAGCATTAGGCCAAATTAATTATCACCAAGCATTTATTACTGGGTTCTTTTTGGATATCTGTATCCGGTATGAAATGAAACTCGACATTATTTCCAGGCCTTTCTGAGCAAAGTCACTAATTCACAAGTAGAGTGTACTCTGTGAGCTGGGTTTGCTTCCTGTGATAGATGGAAATTGTCCAACTGTAATGAATCTACAGCTCTACTGTATAAGCATAAATCAAATACTACCCTCATCGCCCATGGATTATTTAATAGCCTTAAGAATCACATTATACCCTTTTCTCTTCTTCCTTTGCCCTATTGAAAAGAACCATGACTATAACCATGCAGAGTGGATACAAGGAATCTGTTTTTTAGATACCAGCACGCCTGACTTTAATGTAAAGTGGACACGTACCCTGAGGAATGCATCCAAGGAGCCATTTTCCATGTATTCTGTTATGATCATCACTGGTTTACCTAGAGTTTCCGAAAGAAAAACAAAAACTCTTGATGAGCACTGCAGTTAATGAGATAAAAATGGGCTGTGCACAATTTTACTGCCAAGACACCTGTCTTTCAGTGATCTAATTTAATTAAAACAAGCCAAGCTTATGCCTCAGCTGTGGGGAGCTAGGAATGAAATATTCAAAGGACGAGTAGGTTTAAATTCCATCTGGAAGGTTAACCCTTTGGATGGCTTGTTGACAAGGTCCTTAACAAAAGTGGCCTCTGGTACCCTGGGACCACATGAATGGATAATTGCTCTCTTAAACAACAAGGAGAAAATGATAAATGGGCAGGCATGCTGAAATGTGAAAAAAAAAAAAAAAAAATCTTTAGAATAGTTCATTGATTCTGTCCCAGAAGGAGCACTTGTGTGATGTTAAAGAAGTCAATGGACGGAGAAAGTCTTTTCTTTATTTAGAGAAACTCAAGTTTTTCGGGGCTGTGGCTGTGTTGGATACTACATTAGTCAAACATTATCTTAGAACCCAAGCACACACGGGATAGCACTTCCTCCCCTTTGTTCTAGTCCCAGGCTATATGGCCTTTCTAGTGTCTGCCTACTTGTTCCCTTTCACTACCTATTTTGTAAAACAAATCCTGAGATCATTTTATCTGAGGCAGGGGCTGAATTCAGCACTGGAAGAATCTGTTTTCAGTCTGCAGGGAATCATCTCCTTCATTTTACTTTAGTTTTCATGAGCGCCTTAGGAAAGGACTTTTTTTTTTTTTTTTCACTTAATTACTGGCAATGAACTCACATCTAAAATTTCTTCTTTCTAGGGGTAGTGGTGAGGGGTTGCAAAAGTGATAATCCTGATTTTTGTTTACTTTTATTTCTTTACTAAGAGAAAAGTTAAGAAATAATTACATACAGAGCAATGGGTCTGGGGAGATGACTTGTCTAAGAAACCATTCAGTTAGAGAACAATCCCACAAAGATTTCTCCAGCGTGGAATGACAGGTTGGTGGTACAGTCAGAGGGAAGGGTAAGACCCCTTCTGGTCTTGCTGGAAGGGGTGGATCAAGCAATCTCCTTGATCAGTACCAGTAGGACTCTCCCAGTTCTCATCTCATTTAACCTTTACCAGTCTTTGAACAAAACAAGAGCCGCTGAGTTTTAATTTATCTGCCTCAATCAAAAGATACTTTGTCGGGTTCCTTCCGGCGCTGTCCTTCCTGTTGCGGCCGCCATTGGACAGCTGCAGCTATGGCTCTGCGCTACCCCAACAAGGGCCACAAAGTGAGCAAGAACGTGAGCAAGCCGAGGCACAGCCGGTGGCGCGGCGCCTCACCAAGCACACCATGTTTGTGCGGGACATGATCAGGGAGGTGTGTGGCTTTGCGCCCTATGAGCCGCGTGCCATGGAACTGCTCAAGGTGTCCAAGGACAAGCGGTCACTCAAGTTCATCAAGAAGAGGGTGGGGACACACATCCTTGCCAAAAGGAAGCGGGAGGAGCTGAGCAACATGCTGGCGGCCCTGAGGAAAGCTGCAGCCAAAAAGGACTGAGCCCAGAGCCTTCGGGTCCCCTCAATAAATCTTTCATAGCCCCCCAAAGATACTTTGTCACCTAATGAGGAAGGGTGACTCTTGGTCAAGTATTAATATTTACTTCCATTTCAATAGTTCCCTCTGGAGTTTTCTAGAACAGAACAGAAGATTCAAAAGACCAGGAGGAAAATTTATGAGCCTCCTGTCAATCTAGGTAGTTGCTCAGGGAACTGCTCGTTATGAATCTACAGTCTTCCACCCTGTCACCTTCATACCTCTCTAGACTGACTCTTGGTGCCATCTTCTCTGTGTTTCTGTCTTCTCTCTTCTGTTTATTAAAAGTACCCATTTGTTAAGCTCTTTAAAAGCTCTTCGAGAAAAGATGAATACCACCATCCACAGAAGGCTGGGCTCAGGGATGGAGATGGCTGCTTCCCGACTACGGCAGGGATGCAGGGGGAGGGGATGGAAAGGGAGGGAACCCCAATATCTTCTGCAGTGGAAATTTTTAAGTCATTTTATTCAGTGACAACTGCATTATGCAAATGTACCCAGTCGTTTATAACAGTTACAGCTGTAATTGCTGTGAGTTTTTAGAGGCGCGGTGGGACTTTAACACAAAGATTCCCTGTTTCTTCTCTCTTCTGCAGAGGTGCTATGAAAATCACTGTCTGTGGCAGGAAAAACACCAGAGTTGAACAGAGCCTCCTTTCTAGAAGAGACCTGCAGAAGTATTTAAAGGAATGTTATCATTTAATTAAAGTAGTGAGGGGCTCTGGCAACTTCGAAGGCCACAGGCAACAGAAAAATATCCTGTCTGTAAAACTAATCTCAGAAAGCAAATAGAGCTATTCTATGCTAATTATAGCCTTCACCTTAGTTAGAACATTATATGTCCTCAGCATCAAATTTCCTTTTTTGAAGAATTCTCAAGATGAGGAAAGATGTGCTTCTTAGATGTACTAATACCAGTTAACACTTAAAGTCTATGTGTGCTTAATTTGTCATTGTGCTAAGGACTCTAGACATTTTATTTTCCCCCTAAATAATCTTGTAAGGAAAATTTTATTTGTTTTTATTTTTTATTTTTTGGTCTTTTTGAGACAAGGTCTCCCTATAGTCCCAGCTGGACTGGAACTAGCTATGTAGACCAGGCTGGCCTTGAACTCACAGAGATCTGTCTGCCTCTGCCTCCGGAGTGCTGGGATTAAAGACATGAGCCACCATGCCCGACTAGGAAAGTTCTATTTTTGATCTCCATTTTTAGTGATGAGGAAACTGAAATAAAGAAAGAGTGACCAACCAGTTAAGGTCACCAGCTTCTGACAAAGCCACTATGAAAATCCTTCCTCATGGGGCAGTGATTCTCAGAGTTGGACCCACAGCACTGACATCAGCTTTACTGAGTCCTTTAGGAATGAAAATTCAGGTGGTGCCACCTCACCTGTATATTCAAAGAGCAGGCCAAGGAACCAGCTTTAAAAAAAAACAAAAAAACTTTAAAACATTTTAAAATCACATTTATTTAATTATTTAGAGAGAGAGAGTATGTGTGTGTGTATGTGTGTGTGTGTGTGCTATACATGTGTCTGTGTGCTCACATGCTACCACACACATGTGGAACTCAGAGGACAACCTTCAAGACTTGGTTTTCTCCTTATACCATGTGGGTTCCTGGGACTGAACTCAGGTTGTTAGCCTTGGCTTTAAGCACCTTTGCATACTGAGCCATTTAATGGCCCTTAAAAAAAAACTTTTCTAGAGGACTGATACAATTCTAAATTTGAGGCCCGTGTTTTCATTTTTTAGTAACCTCCTGATTTCTTCCTAAAGATTTTGGACATTGTAGCTCACTACAAATGTCTCCACTTTCCAAATTAATCCCCTCCACCCCCAGCCTGCGTTTTACTGACTGAAGTACCATTTGGACCCTTGCCACTTGTTGATTGACAAGCTTTCCACGGATGCCTTCAATCAAATAAGAGAAGTCTTGGCCTTACTGAAGACAGAGCCCCAGGCTCACAGGATCCTTGACTTACACTAACCGTAGGACATACTAGGGCACCTGGAACAGAGCCATTTTAAACAGTCCCTGCTCTAGCTGTCCTATCCGCCTGGTACTTTATAAGTTGGTTTTAACCAGCCTTACAGACGTACACGGGGTTTGCTTCACAAAATGTATCTGTTGGGCTGTGTTGTATTTTAACTGAAGCGTGGTTCACAGGCTCAGAGAATGCTAATGGACTAAAAAAGAAAGGTTCAACCAGGTGTTACTGTAAATAGGTGCCGAATGGCAACAGCCATAAATCAGGCAGAGCAGACAAGCAAATCCCCCAATATAATAAAGATTCCTGAGATTCGCTCCCTACATCTGGAACCTAAGCTTCCAGCACAAGGTATGGTGAGCTTTTGTTTTGCTTTATATAAAATTTATTTTTCTTACCATCTGCTTGTGCCCACCCTATGACAATCAGATTAGCCTAGCAAAAAATTTGAAAGATGGTATGGCGTACCTAAAAATCTGCGGTATTAATTTCCCTAAAATCTCACACAAGCTGCCTTGGAAACAGGGTATCAGCTGCAACCACAGACCCATTTAGAGCTGACTGAAAGATTAATGACTTGTCCTGCACTGATTTCCTCCTATTAGCAATCAGAGGGCCTGTCCCATCTGTCATTTCCCTAGAAAGAAAATGTGTGTTTAATCTCCCAGCAACTCCCAACTTGGCTTTATTAAAAGGGATGATCCACATACATTTGGTGACAACGCCTTCCAAGTGGATTATGTTTGGGTGGTCAAACTGTCCCATGATGCTGGCCTCACTCAGGAAGTCTCTCCTCTGCTTGTCTGTATAACCAGCTTTCAGAGTTTTGATGGCCACACATATCTCTCTTTTGCCAGGCACTTTAAGTCGTCCACTGCAGACTTCGCCAAATTCACCTGTGGGGGAGAAGAATCTATGACGCACTCCAAACACATTCAAAATGAAAGAAATAGCTACTCTTCATTCGCTGCTCATTACAAGACAGGCATGCAGCTAGTGCTCCCCAGGGATGACTTCATGTAATCTTCCCCTAAAACTCACAGTAGGCTCCATTTTACCAAGAGAAAACTCAGGCTTAAGGAAAACCTTGCCCAAAGTCTTACCGTTAGCACAAGGTAGAACATTCCAAATATAGACAGCCTGACTTGAGATCTTCCATGTTCGTTCATTATATTCACATTTATAGATGCACATGCAATACGCTCACATACATACATATAATTATATAATTTGCATGCACACTAAACATTCATGAAGAAAGCAGATTTCTTAGACACTTACCAACTCCTATCACTTTTTCAATCTTAATGCAAGATGCATCGATTTCTTTAGCAAATTCTCGAACTGCCTGGTTGGGATCTTCATATGTAAAGGGATCCACGTAAGTTCTAACACCTAAGTAATGAACATGGCATAAGGTGACTGAGTGTGTCCCAGGAACTAGCAATAAACCAGAGGGCGGGGTCTAAAGAAAGTCCTTAATACAGTCGGGTTAGCTATATGGCCTTAGACATATGAAAATGTTTAAATTCTTCTCTGGTTTTCATTAGTGGGTAAACAAAGAATTTGTTAGCTGCTTAAGAGGCTGTTGCTCTGCTGACTTCCTGGAATGTTTTCACACTTCAAGGATAAGAGTTTAAAAACAACCCATCCCGTGGAGGAAGGAGAATCTCTATCAGGAAATTTGGAATGAGTTAGATGAATACCTAACCAGTGCCTCATAGCTTCTTCGCCTCACACTAAGCCCTAACTCTCCTTTCAGACATTCCCTTAGCAAAAACAATAGGAACTCTTACTTTCTGCTTGCAGTGTCTGCATGGTGTCACATTTCCCCCATATCTGGAGCCATTGAATATGCTACCAACCAGTAACAGATTAAACTTAGATTAATAGACACAGGAGGGATGCTGACCACTGGTTAAAATGACAATATAGATTTGGAACTGGACCTCCACTTGCATTCTGTTTGGGAGAGAAAGTTCCGCTAGAGGTAATTGCAGTAGTTACCTCTTCACACAGTAGAAACTCAGCTGTACTGCACACTCACAATTAAAGCAGAATGCGAGCGCTGAGGCAGCTGGTGACAGACATCACTGACAGCTTTGTGCTCACATATGCTCTTCTCTGGGTTAGAACTCTTGGGGCATTGGAACCTTAAGCATGTAGAGCACCAGCTGACCAAACCTCTCCTCCCTCACTCTCTTACAAAAATGTTTACATTAAACAGTATACATGAGTGCCATGGTGCATGTGGGGAGGTCAGATGATGACTTGTAGGAGTTAGTAGTTCTCTCCTTCCAACATGTGGGTCCCAGGGAATTAAACTCAGATCATCAAACTTGGCAGCAAGTGCTTTCACTCCTTGTATCATCTCACTGGCCCCTGACAATCTCTTGGATTGTCCAAACTTGTCCATCTGATACAGGATTATCCTCTGAGTCAAACCACTGCCATCTTCTAGAGTTCACCTATGCCTACTTGCAAAAGATCATCACAGCTGGACTTGTTGACTGTTGTCCCCCTCTCTTAGAAGAATGGGTATATGGTCATGGGACCCTCCCCTGAGATCTAGCCATTGCTCCCATAAAGAATATGAAAGTAGCCTCAGGGAAGAGCTAGAATACATAGGCTGGGGAAGACTAGGCGAAGGGAGTTCCTTTTATGTGGCTATGGGGAAGCCTTCATCCACACTCTTGAAACTGACCCCTCATCTGCACTCTGCAAGCAAGCCCAATAAACTCCCTGGTTTCCCACTTGAACTTTGGTGGAATCCCACTTTGGTTTATCCTTAGGTCCTTGGGGGAGAAAGGAAGACATTTGTCCCCTTCAGGGAAGGATTTTTAGCAACACCACACTTGTTCGTTTTCTCTTCACTGTCACTATGAATAATCTACTGGTTTTCTTGATCATTTATGTTAGCCTGAAAATCTTCCTGGAGATGTCTCTGTTCCTCTCAGTGGCTCTCTCATTTCTACCTCCCCATGCCAATTTGACCAGCTAGCTACCTCTGGGTATTTAAATGTAAATAAATTTAAATTATATTGTTTAAAAATTAAAATTTTTAAATGTTAATAATTTACTTAAGCTACCTTTTCAGTTAAATAAGGTGTGGATAGTACAGATGTGGCATGACCTTGTCATCTCAGAAAGTTCTGGATAAACTAGGACTGAGTCTTTTTGGTGTTTTTGACTACTTAAAGCATTCTACAGCAATTTCTTTCAGCTTAATCTTTGCGCTCATTTGCAATATCAAACTATCTATACAGTGCATCAACACATAATTGGTGATCACCAGCCCAGCATCAGTGTTGGGGATTGGCAATTAAAGTTAATTTATTTTCTTATTCCTTTACCACTCCCACCTGTAACTTTTGGCTTATGAGAAAAACAACCCATTACATCATACTACCCAGCAGCTGGAATGAGGCAGCTGCATGAACGCTTTTCCAGGGGAGGATAAATAAAGGAAGAGGAGACTCTAAAGGAACTTCATCTCTTTAATCTCACTTCCCATAATCTTGAATTGCCAATGGAACCTTGATGAACAATGTTATTTGAATAAGGAATACACTATATAAATATGAATAGGCAAATTAACTTAGGACATTGCTGAGCTAGAAAACAGGAGGCATGCTCTAAAAATGAAACCACTACACCAATTTTTTTATACCTTGATTCAAATGTTTCTCTTCATCTGCTTCCTGTTTTGCTTTGCTGTACTTACTCCGTCTATTAAAAATTTAAAAAAAAGAAAATTATTTCCTTTTGACACAAATCCTGTAACGAGAGTCACAGACAAGTTCTTCCCTACCACAACGTAGGTCAGGTAGATATGCGATGTCCATTTCACAGTTACGAAAACTGAGGCTTAACAAAAGTAAAAAAATAAATAAATAAAAAATAATGCTACCTGACAGTGAGTCAAAGTTTCAAGTTCAAGCCATCAGAGCCCAGAGTCTCTGATTGGGTATTTTTTCCATATGGACTCTATTTTTTTAAATTTATTTTTATTGTGTGTGTGGGAGCGCATATGCCATAGCACAAGTAGGGAGGTCAGTGAACAACTTTGTAGAGTTGCTTCTACCCTTCCACCTTCATGTGGACTCTGGAGATTAAATTCAAGTTACTAGGATTGTAAAGTAAAGGCAAGTACCTTTACCTTCTGAGCCATCTCACCAGCCCTGCATACATATTCTTAATTAAAGTAAGTTGCATAAAACAAATGGCAGTGATGTTTAGTATATGATAGATAACGAACAACTCATCTTGTTGCTATAAAACATGATGGCCACTATCACAAAACCTCATTAGCATACCACATTCTTTTAGACAATGTGGTTATTGGTTTCTGCTACAGCCTATAAATTCCTAAGTTACAAATGAATATTTAGAAAGTAAATATTTGCTTTGTACTGGATTACATTCCTTAAGATTTCACAGAAAACTAGCTCTGTGTAATTCTCTTTCAATAAAATGGTCTCAACGTCTGCACACTACTCTCAGGTCCTGTTGAAGTGAGACTTTTTTTTCTAAAAGTTTTGGAATTATAATCTTTAATACATGAATCTTGAATCAGGAATATGTGAATTACATGAAATAGAAAATCAACTCAATACTTGGAAATTTAAAAAATTAAATATATACATACACACATATACACATATGTGTACATAATTTTGTGTCTACGAGTGTGGTTCTGGGAATGGACCTCAGGGCCTTTCATGTACTAGGCTGCCATTCTACACTGGACTGTAGCCTTTAAATATATATAAATGTTAAATGAAGAGCATCTGTATCACTTAAAGTAATTAGAAAATCAGCTCACTTCATATTACAGCTCTCTTAACATTGGGAGATTAAAACCAGTATTGAATAAAATGTGTAGATGCATGACTATCAAAATGTCAAATTTACATTGCAGTTGATCATTGTGCTTTATTGAGGCAAGGTTACCTAAGACTCTTAGATGAGGAAACAGAGGTTAAAGGCAAGAAATGATTCCCTCAGACCACTGTGTGTGTAATCTTATCAGAATGGGAGAGCCTCAACCCCTCAACTTGGAACAGGTAGAAAGACAGAATGATTCCCGCAGGAGAGAAAACAGCAGAGAAACTAAAGGAGCTAAGCAAGGCAGGCCACAGGCAGCCCATCACTGGGGCAACCCAGCCCTGGGCACATGCGCAAAGCTTGCCTCCCACATCTCAGTTGTCAGCTCTGCAAGCACCAGCTCAGAAATCAGACTCTCAGAGCCCACAGATGTTCCTCCACGTGGATAATTCCCTCGCAAATAATAATACCTTGTACTCTTACATTGCATTTAACGTTTCAAAGTACTCTCATTACATACATTATCTCCTCCCCTAACTGTTTGCAAAGCAGGAACCAGCTTACCAAAACAGGGACCCCAGTTACCACAGTTAACTGCAAAGAGCATATTTCAGTACTAAATAATAGCCCCTGTTTTCCTTTGCAGTTAGCTTTTCAAAGGGCCTTCAAAGGGTCTATTATTTAATTGCCTCTTCACAACAACCCTGTGAAAGGAATCAGGTGGAAAACACGTGTTCAGTTCCATGGTACAGATTAGTGTACAGATGAGGTCTCAGAACCAGGAGCCTCCAGTAAATCACCCACATGCCCTCTTGGCCAAGGCCAGGATTTGATAAGTGCCCTGATGTAGGCCAGAATGGCACAGTGTCTCTCCTAAAGGAGGAGGAATTACATTTAAAAATATCAGTTGATTGACTGATTGATTGATTTGTGTGTGTGTGTGTGTGTGTGTGTGTGTGTGTGTGCGTGTGTGTGTGTGTGTGTTGTGTACAAAGCCAGAGAACATCAGGTGTTGTTCCTCAGATGCTGTCCACTTTTACTGAGACAGGATCTCGACTGAGGCCTGGGGTTCACTGGCTATCCACCTTGCCTGGGATTACAAACTGATACCAGCACTTCTGGCTCTTTTTTAAAAGCCACTCTAGGGATTGAACTCAGGTCCTTTAGTGGCTGAACTATCTCTCCACAAATTGAACCCAACTGCTCTTAAAACACAATGGCTTCATCAAAGAAACTAAACAGATTTAATGCCAGGAAATCAGGAAATTGAAAGAACTTTCTATGAAAGATGCAGTCCTTTCTGACCAACACCCACCCGCCAATCCCCAGCCCCACCCCCCAAACCTCCCACCACGCCCTGGCCATTTTCCCCTGCTTTTAAGGAAACAGAAGGGTGTTAACTTAGAGTCTACAGAAACAATATTTTAGGTCAGGAAAACACCATGACTGAATCCCCAGGGTATGACTGGGTATCTTATCAGCGTTCCAAAAAGCTTTATCTAAAATTACAAGCCTGTCTTTTAAACCATTTTCGGTCTTGAATACCAATTTGAATTTCCTTACTTTAAAGAAAGTGAAAATGTGTAGAACTAGAGAGCTTTGTTAACTGCCCGGACTGTATTGGCCTGTTGAGAGGCCCAGCACTGGTCCCTGGGCATGCTGGACAGGCATTCTACCACTGAGACACACCTTCCAGCTCTTGATACCTACTTGAAATTAAAGAGTTGGTCACAAATCTGATCACTACCATAGAACACAGAGGGCTCAAACCACCCTAGAGTGTGACTTTCTGTTTTATATCAGGCACATTCACTAAATATGGACAAAGGCAGAGGAAATACAAAAGTGACAGGGGTCATAAATGATAAGGCTCACCCTCCCATCCCTTCCTCAGACTTCCCAACATAGAAGAATTAAAGAGTGGTAAAGGTGCACTTTCAAAGACCTTTCTAACTAGGAGCAGCATTATTCAGAGTAGAGGAGCCTACAAGGGTACTGTGGATGCTGAAAAAGAAGCAAGGATTACTGCTCAAAGGCTAATTGCAGCCTATTAGTGCTCTAATAATACCTTGAAAACAAAAATGCCCAAGTTCTGCTCTACCTCTGCCACCTATGACCCTTTCCTCTTAGCTCAGAGTGGGACAATGTGGCCCATTATTGCTTCAAGAAAGCAAGCCCATTGAAGCTTACTCTTGGGTGAGCCTGCCTGACGAGCTAAGCCTAAACTGACATCCCAGGCAGGTCACCTAAATGGTAAAAGCGAGGCTTTGTGGAAGATTTTCTAATTACAGAGATGCGGACAGGGCAATTAACAAGGGGAAGGAGTGGAGTGGTTTGTTAGAATGGTCCCGAAAGAAGCGTGGAAACTTACCACAGCAGGCATCCTGGCAAAGGGCCGGCTCTGCAGGTGAAACTTTGAAAGAGTGAACGGAATCCTCCCTGTCATCCCACGGACCCGCTAAAAAGGATATTAACCAACATTGTGGGGGAACAGCAGGAACCCTCCCAGCCCATGTGTTCTTCCTGGCACATTGACTCTTCTATAAAACAGGCGAGAGGACAGGAGGTGGCTGGGGCCTCCCATAAATCCTGCTTTTTATCAAAATACTAACTCTCCTGATCGAATGGATGGATTTGATTGATGTGGCTCAGTGCTCCAAAACTAATTAGTAAAAGGTAAGTAATTTATTCAGCTAAAGTGCAGATTAAAGACAACAAAGGCCATAACAAGAAGCACAGCTCCTGTAGAGACCCTTTCCAGTGTTCAATGGCTTCACCCACAAAGATTCACACACACCACCCTCTTCCCTTCCTGGTGCTGTCATCCCTGCACCAAATGACATCTAAATGTCCTTCCCTGGCAGCACTTGGAGGTCGTCGGAATTGAATTTTCGTTTGCTTGCAAGTTGTTTAGAGATGTTCAAGAGGTACCATCTGCCCCTAATTGTGTGACTCTACATGACTTCATCAGAGACGATTTAGGCTAACATTTAAGTGCATTCTTTCTTATGCGATCATAAAATTCCAGGGAAGAAAATGAGGGCACAAGGAAGACAGATGCAGGCAGAGCAGAACCTGTTTGAGCATTACCTGTGCTGTTGGTGCCACAGCGGAACACCTTAACCTTCAGAAGATAAGTTAAGTTGCAAACTCTGATCTTGTTTCATGAGTTAGATGCACCATTATTGACAAATCACAGGTTAATTTACAGGACCTAATAAATCTATCAAAGTTTTCCCATAGACACTTCATTGTTTTCCTTAAAATCAATTCAGTTCTTTCGAACCTGGTGAAAGGAGTATCTTACAATGCTCACAGGAATAGAAACCTAAGCACTGGCCATCATTAGAGAGTACCATGTGCTTCGCCATTAGTTCACACTGTCCTTTTACCAAAGTGTCCTTGAAGACCACCCAGAGACTCTTCCTGTGCTCTAGTCCTTTCCCAAAATAGTTTACGTTTGAACAGTAAAATATTATTGGAGGACCAGAATGATGGCTCAGTGGGTAAAGGCACTTGTCACCAAGCCCAGCGACCTGAAATCAATCCCTTGAAACCACATGGTGGAAGGAGAGAACTAACTCCTGCAAACTGTCCTTTGACTACACACACACACACACACACACACACACACACACACACAGTAAAAACATTTTAAGTAAATTAATTTACTTGACATTATGAAGGTGATAGAAAACGTATCTCAATCAACATACTGTGTACAATACCACATGCTAAATAGTTAAATAAAATTTACAGATGAGATATTTTCATTCTTTCACTTGATGCATTCAAGTTGGCACATACACATAAAAGAAGTGAATCTTCTCATTGAAACTAGGATTATTTCTGCTTGCCCTATTTCTGCTTGCCAATTTCAGTATAAAATTAATTGAATATAATAAAATAAATAAAACAACTAGTATTTTCTTTTTTGTTTGTTTTTAATTTTATGTGCATACGTATATTGCCTGCATGTAGGTAAGTACACCCGTGTCGTGCAGTATCCGTGGAGGATCCCCTGGAACTGGAATTATGGACAGTTGTTGGCTGCCAGGTGGGTGCTGGGATTTGAACCCAGGTCTTCTGCAAGAACAGTCAGTGTTCTTAACCGCTGAACCATCTCACCAGCCCCCACCAGTTAGTGTTTTCAAATCCAGCAACATGCCCACTGTGAGCCTGAGGCTGTTTCCTGTTAAATGGCAAATTAGCACCAGATTTTCTCTGTGGTCATCAGAAGTGCTAGAGCCTTTACTCCCTATATGACTCTGTTTCCATCTACTTCTTTAAAAATCTTACATTTCCTGGGCCAGCACCAATGTGGGAATCTGCGGCTCAGCTCAAGGGGCTTCAGAAGGGCTGTTTCTGGTGGTCTTTTTGTTTATGGTTTTGAAGCAAGTTTTCACTATGTAAACAGGCTAGCCTCCGCCTCAGTCTGCCTTATCTTCCCCAGTGCTAGATGGCAGGTGTGCATCACCATGCCCAGGTTCTAGCACCCTTGCTAGCTTTGCTGTTCTGTGGCTCTCAGAAGCCAGAGGCAGCTCACATGCAAAGGACTGGGACTGTCCAGGCTCAGGTGTTCAGTGTGTTGGTTTCTTGCGCTGCTGACTGAGGCCGGGTAATACTATTTTGGGGTACCATTCACTGCCTTTCATTTGTATTTTAAAAACCTGGGGCCTGACTTTTGCCTGCCGTACCTATCTCCTCTCTGCTCACCTGTTGTTGTCGTCCCATTTAAACACATGTTGCTGTCCCAGATAACAGAGCAGACAGCCTGCACAGGGAGAAGAATTAACTGTGTGCATCAGCTGCTGCAGGCCTGTCAGCTACCTGGCTCCAGGCAGCCCTTCCCATGACAGCTTTATGGCTGGCACTAAAGAAGAATCAATAGGAGGGCAAGGGGCTGACATTTCATTTTCTAAAAAGTGATCCATTGAGGACCAATCACCAAGTAGTGTTTATCAGCCTTGGGAAGTGACATTTTTTTTTTTTTTTTTTTTTTTTTAATAGGGGAGAAGGGACAGGAACCTGTGCTGGGTAACTGGACAGATTCAATTCTCTAAGTGGGGGTGGGGTGGAATCATAATTGGAAATCTCATGCATCCCACTATCAACCCTTCCTTATATGATTAAAGTGATCAATAGAAGCACAAAGGGAAGGGATTAAGTCCTCAGGCTTGAGGATATTGCTTTCCATAGCCCCGAAATTTAATGATCCTGTGTCCCTTATTCCATCATCATGGTTTTTCTTTTCCTCATCAAAGCCGACGTTTGAAGCAGAGTATCTAGAGCCAGGGACTTACAACTAGCAACTCAACTTTGTTGAATTTGGGGACACATAAAATGAAAATGTGAAAAAAAAGGAAATCTAAAGAAAAGAAAGACCGCAACTGTAGAAAGTCTCTAACCGATGTACAGGATTAGCACTTTTAACAAGCACTGGGAACGCTCACATGGCTTTAAGCATCACACAGTGGCCCACTTCGGTCTGCTGTTTTTGAGGTGGAAGTCATTCATGCATTTTCCCCATTTTTATACTTCCCATGTTTATATTTCGAACACAGAAATATGCAACAATTGTAAACAAATGCCCACGTAATTTCTACACGTTTCTATGCCGCTCCTTACAATCAGATGAATATAGAACAACACATTGCTTTCACGTACCATATACATGGCACATAGGCAAAGTCTCATGGCAAAGAACAAGGAAAATTTTGACTTCTAAAATTTTACTTTTTGAAGACTGAACTTACTGCTCTAATCAAACACACTTATTTATATAGACTTTGCCCCAAAGAAAATGAAGCTAACGAGGAGCACAGAGATGCCACACAGAAGAAGGCACTGTTTTGTACTATGTAATTATTAGAGTGAACACACTGATCTCAGTACTAGAGCATCCTGGAGAGGGAGAGGGGGAACATGATGTTAAAACAAATCCTTGTGATTAGTGGGCCACTCAGGCAAACACACCTATCCGCTCATTACCCTAATGTCAGTGTACATCTGACTGAGATAAAAGTGTGGGGGTTTGCACATAGATGGTAATGGCCAAAGTCATTGTAGTGACATTGGTGAAAACAGCAGGTGGACAGGATAATGTGACACATTGCTATTGCAGTGGAGCATGGCTATTGGAAGGTCAACAGCAGCTCTATCTGTCATCATGGCCATGAGATGATACTGGACAAGCATTGCATCTCTTTATGTCACTTTCCTCTTCTAGCACATGAAGAGTATATATTTAAGAGAATCTATTTTTTTTAAGTCTTTCTGAGACAGAGTCTTTCTATAGCCCCAGCTGGCCTGGAACTTGCTTTGCAGACCAGGCTGGCCTTGAACTCAGAGATCCACCTGCCTGTCTCCCGAGTGCTGGGACTAAAGGAATGCGCCACCACGCCTGGCTAGGAGAATCATTTTTGACAACAAAACTCCACCTTGTGAAACTGGCTGTGGTATATGGTGGGGAAGGTCAGAGAAGGGACACACAGGAAAGATCAGATGTGGAGCACAGTTGATGATAAGCAGCTATATCCCATGATGCCTTGGGGCAGGGTGAATAACTGGATGGAGAAGAAGACTGGCTGCAGAGACCATGCTACAATCCATGTCTAGTTTTTCCTCCTTTTTGAGTATCAAAGTATGTGGTGAACAGTCACAAGATAAATGCTCTGCCCAGTTAGATTCTTTTCCAAAGGCAGTATCATGGTGCCCACCATGATTGATGGCAGTCAGAGAATGTTGATGGCTGTTCCTGAGAGATGAGATGGACAGGACTCATATGCAGCTTCCTTACCATTTCTGTTAACCAATACCATGCAGAAGCACCTACTGTGTGCTGTAGTATCTAATGTGTCTATCACAGTCTCTTGCCAACAACCCTTCTCGTCTTATGAAAGAGAAACAAATACAGCTGGCAAGAGGCAAAGCTCAGCTTTAGGTCCACATTATGTAGGCTAGTCCCACCTCTGTCCCAGTGTCCAGGCTTAACAGAGGGATAAATGTAACACCTTACAACTTCAAGTATCTAGAAAACTCCCAGTGGCTTCCTGGAATTACTTGGACATTTCCTAGACTCTTGGTAGACAAGGCTACCGACCCAGTTCCAGTCATCAGCTCCAGTAGGGATGTTTGGCAAGCAAAAGCTTTGGCTTTGTATGAAGATGACAGCCTCCTACAAAAACTGGGAAGGAGAGGCTGTGCAGGGAGCAGGTCCTCTTACCTCCGGCTGATGACAAAGGCTGCGATGAGAATGACCACAAGCACCACACTGCCCGACACAGACACCAGCAGGACGGTGGAATTGGCCCCATCACCAATGATCCGGGAAGGCACTGCAAGACAATTCAGTTACACAGAGGTCACAGGGAGGCATCCTAAGAAGTGTACCTTGCTACCACATTCAACTTTCTGAAGCTATCTGAAGTGGTTGCTGCCTTTGTTGCCTTTGGCTGAGCATCCGTGCAACAGCGTCTTCTAAGCAGAGACCTTTTTATAATTCTCTAATGAATGGAAATCAGAAAACTCTTAATTTTCCGGTTAACATATAATTTGATGCCTTCTTTTCCTTAATACCAAAACTCTCACATAATGAGCATATGTATTTCTTGGTGAGATAGATGTTTGGAAACTCCAGAAAGGACAAATGATCTTTCCTGCGCCCTCTTACTCACAGCTAATAAAAGCCTACTGATTATAGCCCAGTTCAAAGCCATTTCTTCCTTGTAACATCCCTGAATAACACCAAGATTATCCATTGGATTCAGCTCTGTTTTCTTTTCCGTTTTCTTTATCTTTGTCTCATTTGAGAATTTGTTAATAATACCACTTTCTATAACGGATGTTGAAATTTCTGCCCTACTATCTCCTTATCAAATAGAGCCAATTTAGATTCATTAATTAAGGAGGTGGAGATTCCTAGTGCTTGAACAGGCTCAGAAAAAATTGTTTTAGTCAGAAGTTCCAGTTCTTGATGGAGCAAGATTTAATATGTTTGTACAGAGAACTAAGAAACATACATTCACACTGATGACATCAGGATTTAAACATGGAAAAAAGGGTAATTGTGGTCCCTTCTTTAATCTTCTCAGGAAAAGTCCTTATCTTAATGTGGGGTGCTTGTGTAACCCTCAATTAGTGAGTTTAGTAATCCCATAATTCATGGTTTGTGAAAGGCCCCAAAAGACAAAAATTGTAATCAATTTTTAATTCATAGGAAAAGATAGATGAGAAACTATCATGGAAACGGTTCTCTGAATAACATGCAGTTTTCCAAGTTACAGATACTAGCTATCTTGTTTCATGCAATATCCGTAGTAGCTAAATGTTTGCCTTGCCAAAAAGTATGCAGGCTCATGAGATTTCACCACTGTGGGCTTCAACCACCACATAAGACTCTTAAAACGAGTGGTATTTGGATGCTTTCTGTTACCTGTGTTGGTAGTGACCTCCAAGGGCTCACTGAAGTCTCCATAGCCAGCAGCTGTCCTGGCTCGCACATGGAAAACATAGGAAGTCAGAGGGTTCAGGCCTTTGATATCTGTGTTTCTGGCAGCTGTCCGAACGATACGATAGCTTCGTTCATTCTGATCCTACATTATAAGAAGGTAAAATTGGTGAGATGGCAAAATGAGTCCTCTAACTCTAGGCACAATCAGGAGTCAAGCCCATCTCCCCAGTATAGCAGCAAACAAGTGACATCGGTGTACTATCTAAGCCCTGTGTTCCCTGCAGTGCTGAAGTAATATCATCATATCTTAGGTGCTCAAGAAGTTCAGGGTCATTGCTGACACTAATACTTTTATTTATAATTTTTTAGTGCTGAAGATCAAACAATTGTTTTGTGAAAAGAAAACTAAATGATGGTTGACTTCTAGAGCTATAGCCCATAATTATTAAGAAGGAACTGTAAAAAGGTTCCTGTCTAGTTTTTCTTCTGTCTGGACAAAAATATTGTAATCTGATTTCAATTTAAAAATCCAGTCCCCTCTCTGCTTTTAATAAGGAAGTCAATAAGCAATTATTTTAAAAAAAAAGATGATTATTCATTTTCCATACAAGCTTGAATGCAACTTGCTGTCTTCAGAACTCTATTCTTTAAGAGACAAATTATTCACAAAAATAATGCCTTTCTGTAACTTCAAGGGGCTGAAGAATGTAATTCTCCTTGCCTGATTTTTCTATTAAATGTCATCAAAGCCCACACTTTCATTCTGAATAGCAGTGATCTACTTAAACAGATCATTAATTCAACAACTATGAGTCACTCTCCATGATAGAAAGTTTATATATGAGGTCTTGATTTCCTTTATTAGAAAGAAAAATATATAACTATATTAGAATGTGATATATTTTTCAAGATAACAAACTAGATATTAAATTTCATTATCAGATTTTGTTGGGAAGCAAGATGCAATTTTAGTAGCATTTCTTGTTTCTTTAGAACTCTTCAAAACTTGAACAACAGAAAGGAAGAAGAAGGGAAGGAGGGAAGGAAGGAGGAAGAGGAAGGAAGGAATACCTTTTCATAATACTTGACTTCATATTCTAAGATTACGCCATTGGGCCGATCTGGTTCCAACCAAGCCAGAGCCACACTGTATCTCGTCACTTCTTTAGCCTGAACCAAAGCAATGGATGACGGTGCTATCAAGAAAAGTAAAAAAAACAAAGAAAGGTATTTTATTTTAGGAAAAGCATGTTTTGGGAACTAACAGTCAATAATTTCACCTTACTTCAGAAAGTCAGACAGGATTTTCTTCCTCCTGGTCATGTAGCTGTTCTCCAGGACAAACATACCATTATTTTTAAAATCACCCTCTCCAGAATTTGCTTTGTATATGGTTTGTCTTTAAAAAAAAGTATCTGTGTTGGAGCTGTAGAGAAGCTCAGCAGTGAAGTGTTTGCATGAAGGTCTGCCACCTGACAGCACAGGCCTGAACCCAGGCTAGGGTGGGGGCACAGAGAGCGATAGAGGACACCTGACATCCTTTGGCCTCCTCACAAGCCTGAAAGGGCATGTACATGCTTATACATACACACACACACACACACACACACACACACACACACACAGCATCTGTGAAGCAAAGGCTTGGGAGGTCCAGGAGCCTACAGTGTCACTTCCCTAGTCACCTACAGCCACTCTTTCTACAACACTGTAAGTACAGGGCAAGCTGCCCAGGGTGGCCTTTTGCAAACCATGATGGCCTTGGGCACACCTCCCTTCAAGCTCAGCAGGCTGCCTCTCATTCTGCTTCAAGTATTGAGTCATCTTGTTGATATTTCATTTTATTCAAGCAGGGGTATCTGCCAGTCCTCTATGGTTATTGGGAGGAGTGCTGGAAAGCAAACAATTTACATATTTTCCAAAGTAAATAAAGGTACTGCATGACTACAATATGAGCTTTCAGTTTAAATGCAGCCAGGTTGGGTTGGAGAGATGGCTCAGTGGTTAAAAATGCTGGCTGCTCTTGTGGAGGACCTGGATTCGATTCCCAGCACCCACGTGGCAGCAGTTCCAGGGGATCTGATGCCTTCTTCTGACCTCTGTGGGCATCGCACAACACAGTGCATTTACATATGCAGGCAATACACTAAATACACATAAAAATAATAAATAAAATATTAAAACACATAGCTGTGCAAATAATGAAGACAAGTAAAGCCACGACAGTCTCTCTGGACATAAATGACATTCTGCACTATTTTCTGAGAGTGGAGACTGGCTTGTGCCTGTTGGGCAGCAAACCTTCCTCTTTCCCTCTGGAAAGACATGAAAGTGGTCTTTTGGGGCATGTTATTGGGGTGGGTATGGGGATATATACTTGAGATTTGTGAAACTGGGCTGCCCGATGCTCGCATCGCCTCTGTGGTGTTGTCATCTCCTGCCAGCTGTTAGGAAGCTCTGCTGTGACTGACACGGGCTGGTGCCAATGTGCCATGCCAGGAAAAAGGAGCTTTCGTGAAATCCTTAATCTTATCTCCAAAGTTGGCCTGACGAACCTGAGACTAGGAGGCTTCCTCCATTGAATGCAGATTCACTTTTACTACCAAACTGAGGGAACATGTGAAAACAATCATAAAAATTTGGCTTCTGGACAAATGAATATTGTCCTTCCCAATACATATGTGGCTGCCAACCCCCAGTGCAGGAAAGAATAAATGCAATAAATTATTACCAGAAACAGAAAAGGAAAAGCTTCAGGTCTGTCTGGCCATATGTTAGGGGTATCCTGGTAGCAAGACAACCTAATGGACACACCAGTCACAAAACAGAGTCTCCATGCCAAAGCTACCCCAGAGAGGGCTGTCTCTTGGAGGCAGATTCTGACAGCCTGACATCTCTGTTAGGAATCCCTCGGGATGGAAACACACACTCAGGCATTCTTCCTGGGGTGTCTCTCTCTCTCTCTCTCTCTCTCTCTCTCTCTCTCTCTCTCTCTCCAAAGCTATTCCAGATTGGAACTCAGGCATAAACAGGAGTGAAATATCCAGTGGATACACATGTTCTCCATCAAAGGCAAGTCCAAGGTTAGTAATACCCAACTAGATGACCAAAGCTGTACGCAGCAGCATTTGGAAGCCACTAAACATCTGAGGAAAATGAAAAACGGAAATGTGCTCATTAGATGCATTAATTCTCCCTTCCCCCAACAGAGAGAGAGAGAGAGAGAGAGAGAGAGAGAGAGAGAGAGAGAGAGAGAAAAGAAAACACTGGGGCTAGAAAAGAGACTGAGGGT